CAGCTCCTTAAACTCCCCTGCACTCTCGAACTTCGGATCTACCAAATTCTCTGAAAACACCATGTTCGATACTAGATTCAACATCGTCGCGAATGCCAGATTTCCAATTGGAACACCTTTTCCATTCGAACATTGCTTTCTAAGGTGCTCAACAAGTTATACGAGACTTTGTGTCATGTTTTCATCTGCAGGTTCCTGTGAAATCAGTTAGTGAATTTCAGGATTTGTACTCCACTGTATGTTTTAGCTTGAAGGGAGTTTGAAATCAATTAGTATATTATGTCTCAACCAATTTTAAGTGCAGTATACTTATGGAATAATTTATGTCATTTTCTTTGTATTATAAAGGGAGCTTGAAACTCACTATTGCCCTCAAAACTGCAATCATGTTCCCTGGAATAGTTTCTGCCATTTTCTTTGTATTAAATGCTCTAATATGGGGACGAAAAATGGTCTGGAGTAGTGCCATTTGGAACAATGTTTATTCACTGAACTGCACAATAAATAGTTAACTAAACTGTGAATTAAAAAACAATTTATTAAACTGAACTGCAGTGTAACTGCACTAAAAATTAGTTCAGTTCAGTTACTCTGAACCATATGTCAGTTCAGTTACTCTGAACCATATTTTAGTTCAGTGCAGTTTTCCTGAACTGGTTTATAGTTAACTATAAACTTCCATAGTGCAGTGAACTGTGGTGCAGTTTGCCCACCCCTAACTAGATGTCAATAATGCATTTCACAACTTCAATTTGCAAGAAGAGATTTACATGGAGCAACGTCCCAGATTTGTTGTTCATGAAGAGTCTTTTGGGTTGATATTTCGTCTTCTATGATGTCTTCGCAAATCATTAACAATTTGGTATTACTTGAGTGAAAAAGGAGATATTTTCACTAAGTTTTTATTGATTATATTAGTAACAAGCTTGCTACATACGATTTGTATGCACAAGCTTGAGGGAGAGTGTTAGATATATTATCTTTATCTTATCTTTATCTTTTATATTTAGTTAGTTAGTTATTATTTCTTATTTGTATTTTGGACTTAGCCCATATTTCTTCTATTATAAATAGAGTACTCTATGTGTATATTCAACACAAGGGAGATTTATCCCACACATAATTTTCACTATATTCAATCGTGATTATATGTAACTATAAAATGAATATCACTTCATAATATTAGAGAAACTGTTAAATATGATAAATCATCAAATTGAAGAATTCTAAAATTTAAAGAAAAAGTTAATGATAGAGATATAAGTATGAGCATTGGTTTTTTATTATATTGGAGACATAATAATAAGAGCATTGGTTTGTGATTATATGTGACTATAAAATGAATATTCTAAAAGTGATATGTAAAGATTGTCATCCATCTTCCAAGCAATGATAATGATAGGCGAGAAAAAATGTGTCAATTCCTATAATCATTTGGTGAGATCACTAAAATGATTTGTTTTATCTTATCTCACTTCAAACTTGTATTTTATGCAATTTTGGAAAATTTAGGTTATCATAATAGATAATTTGTTGAATGAATATGTCATTTTAAAAGAAATGACTTGAAATACTAAAAATAAGTTTAAAAAATATTAGAAAGAGTATAGTATTTGATTAGCTTTTGAAGTTGGTCTTAACCCACATTTAAATGTGATTTTATGAAGTATTGGTATAAAAAATGGATCTTTTGATATATAAAGATAAATTAGAGAGTGATAAAAAAATTAAAGAGTTTGTTTGGGAAACATGTAAACAAATTTTTAATCCCTAATGTTTTATTTTCCAATTACTTAATAAATTCATCTTGATGTCTCAATCAAGTACCAAGGGACTTTGTCATTATTTATTATTGTGTTTTGATAATTAATATAAAATGTGTTGCAAAATTTTAAAATGTATGTAATATTCAAAATTTGTTGTTGACAAATAGATGTTTATTATTCAATATTTGACATCATAGTTAATTTTTAGTGAATGCATACCATTACTTTTCAAATATAGAAGTCTATTATTTTTCGATGTGTGAAAATGTTAGTTTGTACTCAAAATTAGTTATATAAGTTTTTCCAAAATTCAAATGATAACATTTCTTATATAATAAATTTTAAAAGACTTACATGAAGTTGTACATTATATCTTTTGTCATGAACAAAACAATATTGAAAATATAAAGGTTTCAAATTGAATATTTGTTTTTTTTTAATTCTTTTTTATTACTATTAATTTTTTTCATTGATCATTACATGAATATGAAGATGGGCTTGATTTATGATTATTTTCTTCATTCCTTATAAAAATATAAATTTTCTTCTTTGTATATTGAAACTTGTAATCTAATTATGTTGAACTATATATAATGTGAATATTAACCATTTATATATAATGTGATCAATGACTAAAAGTTAATACCTTTTTCATGTTAATAAAAAAATGTAAAGTCAATATTTTTTACTTAGAAAATAGCTCACAAATTTAGTTTAGTTTGTGAGCATTTTTGTGGATGTTATAATTTTAATAATTATTAATATTAGGATAGCTGGTAAGGTGTATTGAAAATTCAGATAGTTCGGTAGATTGTCTAAATAGTTCAGATAACACCTTATCAAGTTTTGTAGACTTTCGATTGAGCTTCATGTATCGAACTATCCTAATACCTTATCCAACTATTCAAATATCTTGCTAACTTGGAAAACAATACATGTGTCTTACCGACCTTATTGGGTTGGAGATGTTGCACACCGTTTGCCACCGAGCTAACTTGCCAACCTTACTGGATTGGGGACGTGACACAACATTTGTCACCAAGCACTCTTGCAGAATTGGAACACAATACACGTGTCTTGAACGAGTTTGAGATGTGACAAGCAATTTGCCACATTGGAAAAAAAACTAACAACTTTGGTCATTGGGAAATAAATCAATGACTTTCTAAAAAGAGAGGGACAAAAAAGGATCAAAGCTCGAAAGAGAAACAAAAATAAAAAACACGTGATATTTTAAGGATAAAAACATATTTAATCCATTTTTTTATGAATGCATATTTTCATATCATAAATATTCCTCTTCATCTCATGCTAGCAATGAAATTTCAATACTATACAAGACATTCCTTTATGGTTTAAAACAAACTAGGCGTCAATGGTACACTAAACTATTTGATTTTCTTTACAAAATCAATATAAATGTTCTGTCTGCTGACACTTCTCTTTTCTTTAACATGATCATAACTTTACCATCCCTATCCTTGTTTATGTGTATGACATAATTCTGGCAGGGAGCAACAATATTGAGATAAAACACATCACTAATCTTCTCGACATCAACTAAATCTGGTTGGTCTCATATACTTTCTTGGCATTGAGGTGGCTCGCAACAACATTGGTATCCACATTTGCCAATGAAAGTATACTTTGAATCTTCTCCTTAAGACTGAAATGCTCGATTGTTCTCCTGCCATCACATATAGTCCACTCAACTCGTTCTTCCACCCCTTTCTATCAACTGTCTAAATGATGATGATTCTTATATTCATTTAGTATAAGTATAAATATTAGTATTACTTGATTATTTAAATTTGATTATGAATGTACGTAATTATCATGTCTCTGTGTTTCCTTATTCAATTCAATTTTTTCATTTTAAATTATTAAGTTATTAGATAATCTAATGAACTTATACTAACTTTTATTTTTTTTAACTTATTTTTAAGTACATATTTAATCTTTTCTATTTTTTTATATAATTATTTTATCTTCAATTGTTATTTATTTGATATTTATAGAATTATAATTTCGCTGTGATTTTTGTTTTTTACAAAAAAATATTAAATTAATATTTATAATAGTAAAAGAACACACAAACACAAATAAAATATATAATCACATAAAGATAAAAAATGTATACTCGTTAAATATAATAATAAAAATAAAAATCTTCAGAAATAAAATAACCAAACTCGTATCCGTCATCCCATTAGATAATCACTGGACACCATCCTCTTTGATGCAAATACTCTATGGCCAATTCCAACTGGGACTGACATTTTGTGAATCCTCGACAAAAATAATAAATGAGACCCATTTATACTTTGTATATATATAATTTACATAAATAAGAATCACACAGTTTTACTAAAAATGGTATATTCCATTACATTAAACTAATAACATTTTGTAGTAAATTTTAAAATTATATTGTTCAGTTAATATGCTGCGATTGCAATACCTGTCGTTTGTTTCTTTAACACGTGAATTCAAGCTACAATATCAAACCAAAGTATTTTTTATTTGTATTTTTGGATGCAGAGAATATCAAACTAGTTAACTACAAATATCTTATAAAACAAATTTATACATGTCCACCATTTTGTCGTTATTTCCCTATTAAATCCCACTTATCACATGCTTTTCTTTCTTCTCTTATTATCTTCTGTACATAAATTCTCATAAAAACTTTATCATATCAATAATACATATTTGTTTGTAGTATATTTTCAAAAGACACTAATTTGTTTTGAAATTATTTCTGGTTTGAGAAATCATTTTTTATTACGGTAATTTAATACATTAAAACGTATTAATCCTCTTTAAATCGTTTTTTTTTTGTTATCGCTTATTTTAATTACAACTGATTAATATATTTAAATTGTATTAAGTGGGTTGCTTGCTTCCAAACAGTTATCGTTTTATAGATATGTGATGAGAATTGTGTAAAATTTTACATATGTATATGGATGAGAAAAGATATTTTAATACAGTTTTTTTAAAATAATATTTAAACATAACATACGTATGTTTTTTATTGATTTATTATTTATTTGTTATTATGTTTTATAAATTTAATAAAAAATAACACATAAAATTTGTTAATACACAATATGAAGAATTTTTTTTATCTGTGATTTTGTTTTCTCCAATAGTAGCACTAATCATATCACTAACACAAACTTTCACGGATCAATGATCACAGATGTAGTTAAGTAGCCGACAATACTTTGGTTCTGCTGCAAATGCACCAGCTCGATTTCACAGCTCAAAAGTCACAACCAGACAAAAGAAATTACGAGATGCTTCTATATAAAAGTGAAAAAACAAAACCAAATGGCAAAAATATCTAACTAGACATAGACATAGTTAATTATCAGTGGACAAAACCACAGGATAACTCCATTAGAAGCATTGCTGCCTCAGCTACTTCATCCCGTGGAAAAACTTTCTGTTGGAAAGATGAGTTTTTACTGCTCAAACTTATGGCAAAATCCTTGAAATATTCAATCTTTCTCAGCCCTTCAGATGAGCCTGCAGAAGCAGCAGTAGTAGTAGTAGTGGACTTGTACTTGTTCTTGAACTGTGCAAAATGGTTTGCACGAGACTTTTTCTCCTTGTTGTACACTCTGGTCTTTGCACATACTGAGTTTATGGGAGTAACCAAACCATTTGAAGCTTCAGCCATTGCCCTTCTTGCCTTCCTCTGTCTAATTCCACAGGCATTGCAAAGCGACTGCACCACCAAAATCTTGCATGTTAATATAAATTCTAGTTGCTTCTGAATGAATGAACTTTACAATCATCATTCATTTGTTTATCTTGATGATATATATACACTTTGTCCAATAGAATTTAAACTCAGTTTTAATGCTTAACACAGACAAAGTTCATGTGTGATAGGGTAGTACTGTCTAAGGTTTTTTGCAGTGTTATACTATTGAAAGAAAAGAGGGTTTGTTAGAAAGGAAAAGATTAACCTTAGGACCCTTAGGGCCACTCCTCCAAAGTGGGGTAGTGCTTGTGTTACAGTCCGAACAAACCCTAGTGGTGCTACTGCTGCTGTTGCGAGGGCTTCTTTGGCTGTATCTGCTTTCTTGCCCTTGTGGATTCAATCTGTCAGAGGTTGGACTCATGCTCCTTCTCATCATCTTTTTCATTAACCTCATCTTTGAAGACATCCATTTCCCAGACCCATCACTGTGTTTTATGTCTTCTTCGTCCATTCTGTACGACCCTAAATTACCCTCATTTCTGCTGCTAATTGGATCAACCGTAACTGGCTCAGGTGAATTCAGATTATTGCTTGATGATCCATCATGCAATATTACCATCTTCTCATCCTAACAGTCAAGATCAACATATATGTTAGATCTATACCCAGGTGAAAAAATAAGCTTAGAAATGATACTGATGTTTTTTTCACTTTCCAGAGCTAAGTGAAAGAAAAAGAGAGACACAAAGATGATAGATAATATGATAGCCATGAAGAAAAAAATGAAAAGAGAAAGAAAACTGAAAATGAATCAATGGAATTAATGCATGAGAGTGAAATCAAAACTCTACTGTTTCTGTAATCAGATTACCAACAAGAAGAATAAATTTGACCTAGTGTAAAGAGAGACAAATGATTAATCAATCAAGATGATGAAATTAATCAAGGCAAACATATATGCAGTAAAATTAGGTTAAGTAACCTACTAAGAATTTTTTTTCTTAAAGCAAAAGTAATATTAGTTTTTCCTGTTAATTAATTAAAGACACAAGTGTTGCTTAGCAAGCTAATATTTCTCTGATGGATAGATATATATGATAAAGCTAAAACATCCAAGAAGGGGGAAGGGTGTGATTTAATGGTAAAGAAGTTAAAGTAATGAAAAATCTTGATGAAATAAATATGCAGAACATATGAAAAGGGATTGAATATGAATATGAATATGATATGTTATACCTGTTGATAACTTTGTGTGAAGCCTCCAATTTGTATGGTTTTCCTTGGATCAAAGATGTTGAAGAAGGTAGGGCAATCCTGATTATTAGAAGAAATGAAGATTTGGGTTTGAGGTTGTAAGGAAGGAGGTGGTGGGTGGAGGGAATAAGGAGTCATGGATATGGAGAGAAAGAGAGAGAGAAAGTGTGATGTGAAGTATGAAAAAGTAATGGACAGTGGAGAGTACAGAGGGATAGGGAAGGAAGAAGAAGAAGTGAGAAATGAATGAGAAAGAGAGTTATCATAGGGTGGTAGGGTTCTTATAAACGGAAGGAGAGGCTAAAAAGAGAAGAGTTGTCTGCTGCAAGGCATTCACGTGATTACTTTCATATACAAAACAAAATACATTAACAAGAGACAAGACAGTGTTACTACTCCAGAATTCCTCCTCTAGTACGACAAATTCAACCATTTCTGCAGTTTTTCTGTCCTCCTGTCAAATTATATATTAATAAATATTATTTTATGCTTTTTTCAAGAAAAATTATCAAAAATAAGAAGCGACTGCAACTATGTGTTTTTCAACCAGATTAAATATGGAGATAATATATAGGAATGAAACATCACTCCAAATTAAGTGATTAATTAAAATTTTCTTTGATATCACTTCCAACCTATAAAACACTGATATAATAGATTTATGAATTTTGTTTGGTTATATTATTTTTAACTGTCTTTAGATGAATCCAAGTTCAAAATCTAATTATACAATCTGAGTCACTGTCGTTCCCACTTGCAATTTTGTTGTCTGACTTGCCTTTTAAGAGACCTTGGCCTTTCGGTGGTTATTCCATGAGTTATTCGTAGACCCTGTAAATCTCAAAATAAACATGCATGGTCCCTGCCACGATTATGATGATGATGATAATGAACCTAAAGTTTCAAATAATGTTGAGAATGATGAAGGGTTTTGAAATACTTCCAATTAATAATCACTCTTTTTCTCCTTTAATTACTTTCTTGTGGCCTCCCAAACCAACATCCACAACTTGTTTTACTGTTTAAAGCTTCCGAAAACCATTGTTAATGTTGTGATTCAGTGCTAATAACTAAGGTAAATATTCTCTCTTTTTTTTTCTTTCGACGAAGATGCATAGTTTCTTCTATAATCATCAACAAACTACTCAATATTCAACTTAGCCTCACGATTTTTTTTAATAAATTAGATGAACAACATTTGAAAATTAGTAAAACATGTGTCACGCCAACTAAAATGTTATGACCTAAATTGATTTGAATAATTTTTTGTCCAGTTCTTTTGTCAAGATAGATTTGAAGAAAAAGTATAAATTTGAACGGATTTAAAGACAATTTTTCTTAAAAGAGATTTGAAAATGAAAGTGGAAGAATTTAGGATAAAGTTTGTAAAAGTTTTGTGAGTTATTTGACTCATGATAAAATAATCATTTAATAGATTTAAATATAATATTACTATTTTATTCTTATAATTAAAATTAATATATTATTATTGTTATTATTATAATAGTAATTATTATTATGATTACTTTTATAAAAGTAATTATGATGATTATTATTATTATTATTATAATATATTACTATTATTATTATTATTATTATTATTATTATTATTATTATTATATCACATCTATACACATAATGCATTATAAAAGTAAAAAATCGATTCTCATAGTTTGGAATTTGTTTTCCATTCATGAAATTGGTTTCGTCTTATGAAATAGATTCCGTCATCATAAAATCGATTCACATATAACACAAAGCACTCCAAAAGCCATGAGAGTTTAGTAATGTGATATTGCATACACAATAAATCAGCATGAATCTCTTCATTTAATCTCTAACTCATTTCTTCTTTCACAAATATTCTTAAATCCGTTGAAGTGAACACGCACAATTAACAAAAAATTTATCCTCTAATCTTCTTTAATAGTGTATCGTTCTATGAGTACACAGTTTAAATAAACTTAAGATAGACTAATAATTTAATAATTTAATAATTACATTTAAAAAAATAAAGTAATATTACTTTTAAAACATGTAATGTATTATAATTTATATTTATTTATATATCAATGATTATATCTAAAATTCAAATTCAATAAAAATGACTTAAATTTGCATCACCTATTCCGGAAGTAAAGAAATATAATTTTAAGAACGAGTAAGAAACAATAAACAATTATAGTATCTACTTCACAAAACTTTATTTTGAATAAAGAACAAATTAGAATATTGCAATGATCACTATGAGTATATCTAATACTAGTGTTAACATTAATCCATCTAAGAATCTCATTCTATATCTTAGAGTGAAACAATCGCGTTTAGAAAAAGATTGAGAATCTATAATATTCATCCACTAAAAGTCAATGTTGATATTTTTACAAAACTCTTAATGAAAGAAAGATTGATACATTTACGAAAGCTATTGATTAGAAATTTATTAAAGAATTATTAATTATGAGATGTCATCCCATGCATCATTATATAACATAGAGGGTCTAAGTGTAGACCATGTGGGAATGTATCATAATGATTGTCTTATAAAGAAGGTGGAAATTTTGTGAGCATTGAGATGCAATTTATAAAAGAATGAGATTATTAAATAGAAGAAGGTCAACTACAAAAAAAGTTACATATCAAGGTCGAGATTTTGAAACAAATATGAACCTTTTTCTATTATTGACAAAATGGGGGAGAATTTTAAAACTTTTGAATTTACTTTGATTCTACTTGTAGAAAACACACATTTCTCAAGAATACGACTAGATGATCTAAAGATTTATGACATAATTAAAGAAAAATGTTGAAAATTATTAATTGTATGTCTTGTAAAATTAATCATTAATGAAAACGGCATTACTTAATTAAACAATTCATTTTGAATACAATATGTCCAAAATGCAAATATTTTCAAAATAAACTAATTATATTTAAATTAATATTTTTAACTAATATATTCACACGCATATGAAAATAATATATCTTATTAAATAGAATGTATACATCGCAAGAAGTAATAAAGAAAACGTACTATTTTAACTTATATTTTGTTTCCAATTTTTTTTGTTGACAACAAGTATAAAAGAAATCTTCCCAGTATGAGTATAATAATATCTAATTTTCTTTAATTGGATATCGAGTTATATATATATATATATATATATATATATATGTTTCGGTAAATATTTTGTGTGACCGAGACACTAACCTTTCTAAGGTGACTTTGTTGCTTCTGGATAACTTTGCCGCTCGCTCTCCCGCAATATAGACCGCATGCTCGTCCTTCGATGGGTCGCTCGCGCTCCTTCGTTTCACACCGTTCGTTCTCCTTCACCAGCAGAGGGGGGAGTTACCTGCAAAAGGCACTCTGACGTTCAAGTTATGCGTGTGATTTGAAGAGCTTTGACTCTTAATTGAATGTTTAGTGAATGATTATCACTATTTGAGTATTTGAGAACATAGAGTGTGAGTAAAGCGTAAGTGGAACGTACCTGGCCTTTGGTCTTATCAGTGTATTGATAAGTGTTTCATAGATCAAATAAAAACAACCTTACCTGAAGATCCGGTTAGTTACTCAGAAACGACTTTATCAATATCTTCAACCAAATATTTTAGATTTAGTTTATCAAATATCTCTAACCAGATATCCTTCATTATTCTATTATCTGCTGGATTATTAGTCCAACAACTTAAATGTTGGCCCAATTGTAGCCCAACAACTTTTAACCTGGTTTGACCTGGTTGACGAGCGTTGTGGCCCAACATCATTTAACCTGGTTTGTTGACGAGCGCTGCTACAGTAGAGTTGACGAGTGCTTTGAGCTAGGAGTTCTTCCTAGTGAACGGGCTTTACCGATCGGCTTTGTTACTTTGACCTAGGAGTTCTTCCTAGGGAAAGGCTTAACCGTTCGGCCGAGAGGGATTGACCTCTCGGTCTTCGTCTTCAACGAGAGGGATTTACCTCTCAGTCTTTGTCTTCAACGAGAGGGATTTACCTCTCGGTCTTTGCCTTCAACGAGAGGGTTTTACCTCTCGGCTGAGAGGGATTTACCTCTCTGTCTTTGTCTTCAACGAGAGGGATTTACCTCTCGGTCTTTGACCTAGGAATTCATGGAGAATTTCCTAATGGACGAGAGGGATTTACCTCTCGGTTCTTGCACTCCTCTTGGCCGAGTGGTCTGCATGGTTCTGTCACCTGCACTGTGAAGGCCGAATGGCCGAGCTGTTGCGTGGTTGAACACTTGATGCCAATTTTGGCTAAGTGGTGATAATAAATCTTGAACAATATTATAATATTGAATTAAGATATTTAAATTAAATCATATAAATTAAATAATAAAATGAATCTATATCAAATAATTATCTGTAGAGTCGTAGAAGCTTGTTGACGTTGATGGTGAGACTGCATCCTTGTCCAGTTCCTTGTGGTTATAAGGGATGCCCCCCGGCCCCACGGTGGGCGCCAAAATGTTTCGATAGATTTTTACGGGACCGAGAGACTAACCTGTTCCGACGTGTCTTCCTCGCCTCCGAACGCTTGGATTGCCTGAGCCGCTCGCCTTTCTTTAGTTTGGATCGCTCGCTCCTTTATGACCGCTCGGTCTCCTGCTTGACAGAGGGGGGAGGTACCTGCAAAAGATACTCCAACGCTCAAGTTAGGCATGTGATTTGAAGAGCCTCGGCTCTTGGTTGAGTATTTAGTGAATGGTTATCACTATTTGAGTATTTGAGAATATAGAGTGTGAGTAAAGCGTAAGTGGAGCGTACCTGGCCTTTGGCCCTGTCAGTGTACTTATAAGTGGTTCATAGATCAAATAAAAACAACCTTACCTGAAGATCCGGTTAGTTATTCACAAACGGCTTCATCAATATCTTCAACCAAATATTTTAGATTTAGTTTATCAAATATCTCTAACCAGATATCCTTCATTATTCTATTATCTGCTGGATTATTAGTCCAACAACTTAAATGATGGCCCAATTGTGGTCCAACACCTTTTAACCTGGTTTGACCTGGTTGACGAGCGTTGTGGCCCAACATCATTTAACCCGATTTGTTGACGAGCGCTGCTACAGTAGAGTTGACGAGCGCTGCTACAGTAGATAGACCGATCGATCATAAGTGAATGGATCGAACAGTGGACAGACCGATTAGCCTTATTCCATGACCGCTCGGTCTACATTACATACGATACAATATATAAATTTGTTTTGTCCCATCTCTCTTTGTACCAAATACCTATTCTCGCACTCATTTCCATTTTCATTTAAATCACTAAA